ACACCATGCTGGTGCCCGCGTTTTAGCTTCTGGCTTCTGGCTCCTTTGGGGCTCGCTGTCTCCGTCACCATCTCCCAAGTTCATCCTTACGGTGGGGTGGGGCTCCGCTCAGGCTAATGCCACGTTTCTTATTTTGGTTTCCCAAGGGACCACCCCCCACTTAAATGTCTCCATTCCCAGGGTCTTGCGTAGGGTCAGCATCCATATTGTCCCTCACCCACTCATTTATTCATTTAAACCAGCGTTTCCCCAGATGTGGCGTGTGGCATCACTGGTGCTCCAAGGCGATTTTAGGTGGGACCCGTGCCACGACCTGCTTTCTGTCTTAGAAAGATTCCCTCTAGTTGCCGTGTGGAAACAGGCGGGGGTGGTGGAGGCAGGCAGAGGCCGTAGGGACCGTGGTGACCAGGGGAGAGACCTTGGTGGCTTGGACCAGGTGGGTAATGGGAGGTGGCAGGAATTACTGGGTTCTGGTCTATTTCGGAGGCAGATGAAATCTAATAAATGGTGAATTACATCATGGTCATGGATAGTCAGATTTCATTTTCAAAGTCGTAAATTTCCCCCAAATTAACCTGTACATGCAGTGCAACTCCAAGCAAAATTCTGACATCTTCTAGTATGTATAACTTGACAAAGTGGCTGGGAAAATGTATATGGAAAAATAAAGAGCCAGCAATAGCCCAAACAATTTTGCAGAAAAAGCGCAGAGTGACTCACCCCATGAATAGAGAGGTGGTGTGTTTGTGCAGGGACCAGCCTCTCGCTGGGTGCACCGGAGCCGCCAGGCACGGACCTGCCTTACAGAAACCTGCTGGCGCGGCATTCCAGGCGGGCGAAGGTTACTCCCTCGTTAAATGATACCGGAGCATCTCCACCTTCTGCCATCTGTGGGAATGTGTCCCTGTGTATGCATGCAACTCCAGACTGATTAAAGGCCCAAACATGTAGAACAAATCTCATAAGTTTTTAGCAGACGTTTAAGAGGGTATCTTATGACCCCAAGATAAGGAGGCATTCTTAATTTAAACACAAAAAGTACAATATATAAAGGAAAGATTGAAAAGCCTCATTAAACTAAAAAATTCACACTCATCATGACACCATAATAGAAGCGAAAGAGTTCACAGACAAGGAGGAAATATTTTCAACCCATAGATCTGGCAAAGAATAGATCTCCAGAAATAGAGAAGCATTCACAAAATAGTAAGAAGAAAGAGAAACAACCCAATAGAAAGACATATAAAAACATGAATACATGCAACTCACAGAGAAAGAAGACCCAATGGCCCCGTTACACAAGATATCCAACCTGGCTGATAATCCGGGCACTCAGCATGGTTTCAGATATTTTTTTTGGTGACACTCCGCATCCTCAGAACTCCTGTGACTGTTTAGCCAGTTCCTGTTCTTTATCACACTCTATGCCAAACGTTGGGCTCAAAAAGATTTTTTTTTAAAAAGTTCCACCCTCAAAGAGCTTATTGGTGAGGTGATAGACATGTGGACAGGTAGTTACAATCAATGGTTACAATGCAATATGAAAACTGCAACAGCATAATGTGGGCTGTATAGCTAACTGCTATGAGAGAGGAGGGATTGACTAGCTTTGCCTGCAGAAAGGGGATGCAAGAGAGAGATAGCAGGCACAGTGTATCAGTTATCACAGTACTCCTACAGCACAACCCTAAGACCTCAGGGGTAGGCACCAATCAACATTCATTTTGCTCCGGAGTCTATGGGTTGGCTGGCGGATTCTGGCCATCTGAGCTGGGCCCTCGGGGTTACTCATGTGCCCATGGTCAGCTGTGGGCTCTCGATGGCTCTACTGATCTTGGCAGGACTCTCACATGTCGGGGGCCTCAGCTAAGACAACTGAGCTGTCTCTATTCCCCGCCTTATTCCTCCAGTAAACCCTGGGCCTGTTCATGGGGAAAAGGCAGGGGAGAGGGAGGGAGGGAAAGAAGGAGGGAGATCTTCACCTCTGCTTCATCCTGTTGTTCAAACCAAGTCACAAACCAGCCCCGCTTCGGGGAGAGGTGGACTCGATCTCTTTGATGGGAGGAGCTGCCGACTGACAGTGTCAATAGGAGTAAATATACAGACAGGTGGAAAATTGGGGACATCATTTTTCAAAATTCTGTCCTGTGTGTATGTTTGTTTTTATTTGTTTGCTTGCTTTTTCAGCACCTGTTTTCTCTTGGGGAGCTCCCCTCTCTCCCTTCGTTTGGTCCTGGTCAGATTATCAATCATGTGACTGTATCTTCTGGTGGTCAGTGACCCACGCCTGGCCAAACAGAGTCCTGCCCCGAATTTGTATGTAGACTCTGGGAAGGAGCAGTCCTCAGCCCCCTTCTCCCCACCTCCCCAGTCGAGGGCGGCTGAACCCGGAGAATGTGGGCCAGAGGCTGTCAGGCTGCTCTCTCCGCTGGTCTCCAGTCCGGAGGGCGGCTGAACCCGGAGAATGTGGGCCAGAGGCTGCCGGTCTCCAGTCCCTAGAAGTGAAACTAAGCAGAGAGATGCAAGAGGCATATAATTCAGATGACGTCATTTGGGCTCAGCCAATCCCGAAGCTAGATTTGCCTCCTGGGCTTCCCGTGATGGGAGCTAATAAATCCAACCACACACACTTAACAAAGTCATAAGCACATTGGAATTGGATTTATATCCCTGACTCACTGGGAAGGGGGGTGGTGGTGACAGAGGTGGCGGAATGTTTGCTGAATGCAACTACATTTGAACAAGTGGGAAAGGGAGACAGACGAAGGAAGAACTCATGAGCCGGGGTTTTTAGAATAAAGAGCAAGTGTTTGCATGTGCTCCTGCCATTGTTTTAAATAAACGACTTTCAG